CGCTTCTGATTACTATATTGTTCATGCAATCACTATTTTAGACTTTTTAATTACATCATGATCACCCGATATATTATACATTAATTAGATCACCGATCAACACGTACCTGATCATGATCGGGTGACCTGTGATCGTATCTAACCCTAGCAATACCGATACAAGGGTGTTGGTCATCAGCACGACAGGAGCTAGATCCCCAGGTACTTCGTTCTTGAAGTTACAACAACTCATATCCATCTCACCAAGTTTCCTCACTTCAAAACGACTACCAAATACTGTACTAACTAGTCCATCATTCCCAATCACATGGTCTAAATATAGTCGTTTAAAAAATCTCTTCCTTCCAACATTTTCAAATACTATCGGGCTGCGATTAAACCTTTGAATTTCATTTTCACCAATACACAATGCGTCCAGCTTTTTTGAATCATTACACCTTTATCAAAATTTTTATTACTTTCAAATCTCAAGGTATTTATCACCTTAATTTTCGCATTGTTCGATTTGCAATGCACCTTCAACTAAACTCGCATACACATTATTCACGACTTTTCTACTTGTTTTCACCCTTCGGCAGCTTACACCATTTAACCTTACAAAATTATTCACATTACGTTTAGCCTTTAACATGCTATTCAATGTTCGTATAGTGCTAGGGTGACTCATAGATGCTCCTCCTAATCCAATGCATTGTTTATTCTTATCATCACACTTGTGATCACGTGTTTCATTACTACAACTCATTTTCCCAAGGCTTTGACATTGAACAAATACATTTTGTTCATCTTTTTCATTTTCGATTTTACTTTCGTGGTAATCTTTTCCAGATTCATTCGTTCTGCCATCTGCAGCTTCACCCCCATTATAATCAAACTCAGCCTTATTATCCTCCAATACGTTTACTACACACCTTAGTTCACAACATTATTGTCTTTTCTATCACTACATTTCTTTTTCTCTTCGCCAGCACTATCAGTCTCCGTCAATTTACCTTTAATACGCCTAACATCTACAAATTCATTTTCTTTTCGATCATCATTCTTCGTTATACTACCTTTATTCATATATTCATCTATGCTTTCATTAGAAATCACGAATGTTGCTTTTTCTAAGCCAGATCGGATCATACAGTGACATTTTCTATCCTTCCATTCAAAACTACACCTTGTTTTCATAACCCATGGCATTCCAAGAATGACATCAGAAGCTAATTCATGCTTAACATAAAATTCTTGGACTACTTTAACACCATCAACATCGATTTCAATACCAGGAACATACTCAATAACTTCATCATCTTCATTCAAACATTTCCAGGTAAGTCCTTTGCTTCTCACGTATCTCATGCTCATTAAATTTAAAGATGAACTGAGCCTAATCGATGCTTTTGCAAACTTTCTGTTTACCTTTACCCTTTTTACCACTTCATCATTGTCCCTATTTTTACCATCAACTTTTTGTTCCATTTTAATTTTTCCACTACGTTTCAATCCTTCATGCTTCTTTCTTCCAACTTCTACATGGCAAACATCCATCACATTATAATTTAAACTTCGATCATAACTTTGATCTTTTATAGATGGACACAAATAAGCCAAGTGCCCTTTTCGCCAACACACATAACATAAATGTGACCCACGTTTTCGCTGTTTCCTTTGAAACATATTCAGGTTCTGTACAACTTTTTTAACCACTGTTTTTACAATGTCTTTTACCAACGTTACTAAGTAATCTTCATGTTTCATTTTCAACTCCAATTCTGTTAAACCGTGTTTAACTTGCCACTGAGGCACCTTAAATTTACCAATTACGATTGGTATACGCTTCTTGATCTTGCACTTAACAAGTATGATAATCTTCAACAAGTTTCTGCAAATAGAACCTTCATCTGCCCAGGTCCTTTATATCACAGAGTTACCCAAACTACCGTATACTTCTTGATATTTACTACCTGTCTTTACTCACTTGGCTAATATATACGATGACTGGAGTATCGTGCCAGATACTACCACTGATAATGTACTCACACAAACAGTTTATTCATTAAGAATAATTCAAAGAGCCAAAGTTAGGCATTTCCCCTATTTGGATCGATGCCTTATATATTAATACTAATCGCTAATAATTACTACATCGTTCATGCAATACTAATCGCTTTTGATTACTATATTGTTCATGCAATCACTATTTTAGACTTTTTAATTACATCGTGATCACCTGATATATTATGCATTGATTAGGTGACTCGTGATCGTACCTAACCCTAGCAATACCGATACAAGGGGTGTTGGTCGTCAGCACAACAATTAATAAAATTTCACCTGCTCGAATTTCGCCTGGTAAAGAGTGTCTTTTTGTTCTTTTACCCAGACTAAATACCCTTCTACTGTTGGACTAAAGGTGGTTTTAACATAAGGCCACACCAACTCCATAGCCGTTGCTTGGCGATAAATATTACAAACTGAATCCCAGGTTTTATGGTGGTCATGGCACTTTTTAAAATATGCAAGCTGATTTTCTGTTTTGTACCCTTGGCATTTTGCAAATTCCTTAAGATCAATATCCCTTTTTAAATAAATTAAAATTAGAAATCATGTAGATATAAAAATAGAAAAAAAATTAATAGCAACATAAGTATTAATAACTGCCATGAGTAAATACATATCAAACCCATCAATAGCTATAAATTCTGAAAATTTAAATACAATTTAACTTACCAATTCAGTTCTATATACACACAAAGCATATTCATCTCTTCATGTAGCTGCCCAGGAATAAGGACCAACCAAGGATATTTATGTTTTACTTTAGTTATATAGCTATATGGAATACCATCACACGTAACAACTACCTATTTGCTAATTTCATCTTAAATTTCTGAAATTTTTCCTATGTGGAGAAGAGTTTCTTCAACATTAGCTATTGAATTAGGGTTAATATTAAGAGGGTTGGGTACAAAAATTTTCAGGATTTTAACTCCTTTATTAGGAGATTGCTTTTGAGTTATACTTATTCTTGGTACAGTAGACAAGTTAGAATCCTTCTCAACATTATAGGGCTTAAAAACAATAGGACGGTCCTTTATATTCTTCTCAACTTCGGAAGCTTGTTTTTGCCATAATTCAGCTAACTTAGGTAGACGAGTGGCATATCTTGAACAAATTTGCTTCTTATTATCAATGTTTTGTTTATCACAGACAAGGCACCACTTATTACGATTATTATTCAACCCCATACTTATAACAAGAGCATCAATGGTATTAGTCTCAGATAATTTTTCTTCAAGTAATAAACCTAAAATTTCAGAAAGATAATTATTTAGTTCTTTGTCTATCACATTTTGCATTTCAGGTGTAATAATAAAAAGATTCTCATAATCAAGC